GTTCACAAGGATCTCGTGGCCATAACACGGTCACAAGGACCTCGTGGCCATAACACGGTTCACAAGGACCTTGTGGCCATAACACGGTTCACAAGGATCTCGTGGCCATAACACGGTTCACAAGGATCTCGTGGCCATAACACGGTTCACAAGGATCTCGTGGCCATAACACGGTTCACAAGGCTCTCGTGGCCATAACACGGTTCACAAGGATCTCGTGGCCATAACACGGTTCACAAGGCTCTCGTGGCCATAACACGGTTCACAAGGATCTCGTGGCCATAACACGGTTCACAAGGACCTCGTGGCCATAACACGGTTCACAAGGATCTCGTGGCCATAACACGGTTCACAAGGATCTCGTGGCCATAACACGGTTCACAAGGATCTCGTGGCATAACACGGTTCACAAGGATCTCGTGGCCATAACACGGTTCACAAGGATCTCGTGGCCATAACACGGTTCACAAGGATCTCGTGGCCATAACACGGTTCACAAGGATCTCGTGGCCATAACACGGTTCACAAGGATCTCGTGATCATAACACTGTTCACAAGGATCTCGTGGCCATAACACGGTTCACAAGGATCTTGTGGCCATAACACGGTTCACAAGGATCTTGTGGCCATAACACGGTTCACAAGGACCTCGTGGCCATAACACGGTTCACAAGGATCTCGTGGCCATAACACGGTTCACAAGGATCTCGTGGCCATAACACGGTTCACAAGGACCTTGTGGCCATAACACGGTTCACAAGGATCTCGTGGCCATAACACGGTTCACAAGGATCTCGTGGCCATAACACGGTTCACAAGGATCTCGTGGCCATAACACGGTTCACAAGGACCTCGTGGCCATAACACGGTTCACAAGGATCTCGTGGCCATAACACGGTTCACAAGGATCTCGTGGCCATAACACGGTTCACAGTTTTAACACTAGTTCACTCTCTTCATAACACGGTAGAAAGCATCTTCTGTAAAGTGATTAAAGTTAGTGGTATAAATCAAGTACAGGATATCGCAACTTAACACTTGTAGTTCAAGACCTGCCATATAGGTTCCTAAGTATTAGAAATAGGTCCGAAATCGTATAACCAGTTTCAAGGACTTTTGGCAAACCATAGATAATTCCTGATATATAACCAGTGACACATGCTTCCGAAAGAGATTTTGTAATGATTAACAACTCGCAGACGGACGAAATTATTTACAAACATTATCTATCTGTCCACAGCAGGATTCGAACCTGCAAACTCTGAGTCAAAGTGCGCAGTAGTTTATCCTGGGTTTTGTGTATAAAGTACTGCTAGCTTTGATGTACAGTATGAAGGTTCGAATCCTGCTGTGGACTGAGAGATAATGTTTGTATTGTACTTCCGAATACAGTTCTTTGGTCAAAGTATCGTCATGTTTTTTGATTTCCTTTAATACTTGTTGAGCTAAATTCCCATATTTAAAACAAGACTAGCAAACACTTCATGTTTTATACGAGTAAGTTTAGTACCATCACAAAGTAACCTTGTCGTTTTATTAGCGTAGTTAAACGTATTTAATATAACCTCACCTCACCTATATCAGACTTAATAACTATAGAAGAACCTAGGTTCTTAGGTTCGAATCTCCTTCAGCCAGAGATCAGTGTTTGTGTATATTTCGCATGCTCTCGCGAATTCATTGCATTGTTCAAATCTCTAGTAAGGCTGATGCATGCAGGGGATGAGATGAAAAGCTGTAAGCCTTCTCCCTGAAAGCTGGCTGCCTTGGATCAAACGTGTAGCGCAAGCTACACGTCAAGGTATTGTCCAGTGTGGGTAGACTGGTAAAGCACTGCATACCTTGTCCCAAGGTTCGTAGGTTCGAGTCTCCTTCAGCCAGAGATCAGTGTTTGTGTATATTTCGCATGCTCTCGCGAATTCATTGCATATATATATATATAATATATATATATATATATATATATATATATATATATATATATATATATATATATATATAATATATATAAGGAGTTTAAAGAAAACAAATGTTGCGTGTGGTGGTGGTGGTGATTGTGGTAGTAGTAGCGATTGTGGTAGTGGTGTTGGTGGTAGTAGTAGCGATTGTGGTAGTGGTGTTGGTGGTAGTGTCTACTTCCTTCTCTCTTCACTCTTCCTCCCCCCCGTATCCCGATCCCCCCCAGTCCCCATCCCTCTCTTCCCCCCCTCTCCCAAGAGGCAGCGTGAAGATCTTTCGGGGGTGGTTACCTGCGCACATCTCACACCCCCTCCCTCCACCACCCATGCCCCCCCTCTCTCTCTATCTCTCTCCCCTACCCCCTCCTCCTACTCTTCCTCTCCCTTCCTCCTTTCTGTAATTGGTGGCCACCTGGCAGGTATGTGAGGGGGGAGGGGAGGGGGAAGACTCACCCCTCCATACCTGGTACCTTCCCGCCCTCTGATTGGCCCACCAGGGCCCCCACACTTGCCCGAGACCTCGTAACCTGAGTGGTCGAGACTTCGCAGGTACTTGAATCCTGATTGGCGGAGACATGATAGACCCCCGAAGTTTGATTCGTTAAGACCTAAAGGATATCCGAAGTCTGATTGGCCCAGACGTATCAGATAACTGAAGTCTGACTGGCCAAGAGACGCATCAGATAACTGAAATCTGATTAGCTGAGAATTCTGATTTGTTCAGTGGGACTGAAAATGTCCATGAGAGAAGTGACAGCTCTGGATCCAAGAAACTGGAGCTCCACTTACCCTTTCCTCTGATCAAACCTGATTGTCTCTATGACCCCCCCTCCCTAACGGGTTTAGCTCTTCATAAAAATGGTGTCGGGAGGGTTGGTAGGCTTGTGTTAGCCAGGCTTGACCGTCAAGATGGCTGCCGGAGAGTGCACTGTGTGTACACGTGCTGACTCACTACTTACACCTCATGTACACTTTTCAGTAGGTATTTGGGTTGTTGTGTGTGTGTGTGTGTGTGTGTGTGTGTGTGTGTGTGTGTGTGTGTGTGTGTGTGTGTGTGTGTGTGTGTGTGTGTGTGTGTGTGTGTGCGTAGTGTGTGTGTGTGTGCGTATGGTGTGTGTGTGTGTGTGTGTGTGTGCGTTGTGTGTGTGTGTGTGTGTGTGTGTGTGTGTGTGTGTGTGTGTGTGTGTGTGTGTTTTCTTCTACCTTCTACATCACGTACTTCAACTCTCCTTCCTTTCTCCACTCTGTCTCTCTCTCATCAAACAGTGCACCTCCCCACCTTCCCCCCACACATTTTTCCCAGGATTGATACCCACCTCCCTAATCCCTTTCACTCCCTCACATACATTCTCTCTCTCTCTCTCTCTCTCTCTCTCTCTCTCTCTCTCTCTCTCTCTCTCTCTCTCTTCGCTCGCTCGCTCTGCAGTGTTGCAGGAGGCAAAATCAATTTGTATAATAGCACAAAAAAAATTGTAAATTCATTTATTTACGCGAAGCGCTAATCCCGCGTAGGTCATTCTGCGTAAATACTGGTGCAGGCTCGATCCTCTGTTCTCTGAGTGGGCAACACACGCACTACAAAGCTGAACTTGTCTGAAACACACACACACACACACACACACACACACCTGACTACTTATTAATGTTAAGGTGCTTTAACTGTTGTTGATGTTGCTATTACTGTTCCTGCTGCTGTTGTTGCTACTACTACTCTTGTTGCTGTTACTGCTACTGCTGCTGCTATTGTTATTGATACTACTTCTTGCTGTTGTTGTTGCTACTTCTGTTGCTGCTGCTGTTGTTGTTGCTACTACTGTTCTTGCTACTGTTGTTGTTACTACTACTAGTGCTGTTCCTGCAACAGTAGTAGTAGCAGCAAACACAGGCATTTTTTAATTAAACAGCCTGGTTTAAGGTACCAACGGGAACACAACAGAGCACTCACGATGAGGCAAAAAGTATTTACCAGATATTAGTTGTTTAAGTAACCATTCATTTCCCCCAACAAGCTTATATACAACTATATACACTATATATAGCGGGTTTTACTAATAACACCATAATTGGGTTTAATAAGAGAGAGCGTAAGTATGAGAACTGCGATGAGATATAAGCTTTCGATCCTCCGAACACAGAGGGCAGATTCTGGTATGGTTTTCACCAGCTCGAGGCTTGTGAGGAACTGGAGCACCAGTGTGACTCCTTGATACATGGTAGTTTACCCTGGGGCTCCCCTCCTCACCCTGATTGACAGACCTCCAGCACAACTGGTAGTCGCCCTGAATGTTGCACTCATTACAACAGGTGATGAATTACTATGCTTAAGGCTGGTTATTGATGGTTGTTGGTTGTGGTTACATGTGGTGGGCATACAGTATAATAACATACACAGTGTATGCCACATGGATTTTGCTGCTGATGCTGTTTTGTATTACTGTTGTTATTGTTGTTACTGTTTATGCTGGTGCTGTTGTTTTCATAGCTATGTCTGTTGCTGCTGCCATTGCTACACTCACCGGTTGGTACTCATTTGTGGCTGCAGAGGTTAAATCTCAGCTCCTGGCCCCACTGTTCCACTTCCCACCACTGAGATTCAACTCTCCTGGCTGTGTTAGCCCTTTCATACCTATTCTTAAACCTATGTATGGGTCTTTCCTTTACAACTTCGCTGTATAGGTCAAACCACTTCATGACAACTCTAAAGTTAAATAAGTATTTCCTGACATCCTTGTGATTCAACTATGCATCTAACTTCTAGTTGTGACCTCGTGTACCTGAGACCCGCCTCTCAGACTCGCCCTGTTAAGCCTGTCTATTCCTTTCAGTATTTTGTATGTCGCAATCTTGTTACCCTTGGTCCTTCTGTCCTCTGGTGTTATCAGGTCAAGTTTCTCAAGTCTGTGTGCGTGTGTAGTAGTAGTAGTAGTAGTAGTAGTAGTAGTAGTAGTAGTAGTAGTAGTAATAATAATAGCAGCAAAGGCACTTGTCGATACACACTTGGTATATTGAGTGTGATAATAATATATTTTCTCTTTTCCACAGGGCAGCCAGCGTCACCTGCCCCCAGCGGTGCAGGGGTGCCTGTGGGCGTGGGCGTGGGCGTGCTGTGGGCGTGGGCGTGGGCGTGAGGTGCCAGGCTGGCGTTCCCTGGCTTTGGGGGTGCCTGTGGAGCAGGGAGCTCCGCGGGCATGTACCTCAAGTCCTCCCCGTACTCCATGAACGGGATTGGACTCACCATGGCCGGGATGGACTCACTCCACCCCAGCATGGGCTACCCCGCCCCCAGTGAATACCTCTACGGTACGCTACCTCTTGTGCTAATACCTCTTGTGCTACTACCTCTTGCGCTACTACCTCTACCTCTTGTGCTAATACCTCTTGTGCTACTACTTCTACCTCTTGTGCTACTACATCTACCTCTTGTGCTACTACCTCTTGTGCTACTACCTCTACCTCTTGTGTAACTACCTCTGCCTCTTGTGCTAATACCTCTTGTGCTACTACCTCTTGCGCTATTACCTCTACCTCTTGTGCTACTACCTCTTGTGCTACTACCTCTTGTGCTACTACCTCTTGTGCTACTACCTCTACCTCTTGTGCTACTACCTCTACCTTTGTGCTACTACCTCTACCTCTTGTGCTACTACCTCTACCTCTTGTACTACTACCTCTACCTCTTGTGCTACTACCTCTACCTCTTGTGCTACTACCTCTACCTCTTGTCTACTACCTCTACCTCTTGTGCTCTACCCTTACCTCTTGCACTACTCTACTTTGTGCTACTACCTCTACCTCTTGTGCTACTACCTCTACCTCTTGTGCTACTACCTCTACCTCTTGTGCTACTACCTCTTGTGCTACTACCTCTTGTGCTACTACCTCTACCTCTTGTGCTACTACCTTCTAACCTCTTGTCTACTACCTCTACTCTTGTGCTATCTCTACCTTCTAACCTCTTTGTGCTACTACCTCTACCTTGTGCTACTACCTCTACCTCTTGTCTACTACCTCTACCTCTTGTGCTACTACCTCTACCTCTTGTCTACTACCTCTACCTCTTGTGCTATACCTCTACCTCTTGTCTACTACCTCTACCTCTTGTGCTACCTACCTCTTCTACTCTTTGTGCTACTACCTCTACCTCTTGTGCTACTACCTCTTGTGCTACTACCTCTTGTGCTACTACCTCTACCTCTTGTGCTACTACCTCTACCTCTTGTGCTACTACCTCTACCTCTTGTGCTACTACCTCTACCTCTTGTGCTGCTGCCTCTACCTCTTGTGCTACTACCTCTACCTCTTGTGCTACTACCTCTACCTCTTGTGCTACTACCTCTACCTCTTGTGCTACTACCTCTACCTCTTGTGCTACTACCTCTACCTCTTGCTGCTACTACCTTTTACCTCTTGTGCTACTACCTCTACCTCTTGTGCTACTACCTCTACCTCTTGTGCTACTACCTCTACCTCTTGTGCTACTACCTCTACCTCTTGTGCTACTACCTCTACCTCTTGTGCTACTACCTCTACCTCTTGTGCTACTACCTCTACCTCTTGTACTACTACCTCTACCTCTTGTGCTGCTACCTCTACCTCTTGTGCTACTACCTCTACCTCTTGTGCTACTACCTCTACCTCTTGTACTACTACCTCTACCTCTTGTACTACTACCTCTACCTCTTGTGCTACTACCTCTACCTCTTGTGCTACTACCTCTACCTCTTGTGCTACTACCTCTACCTCTTGTGCTACTACCTCTACCTCTTGTGCTACTACCTCTACCTCTTGTGCTACTACCTCTTGTGCTACTACCTCTTGTGCTACTACCTCTTGTGCTACTACCTCTTGTGCTACTACCTCTTGTGCTACTACCTCTTGTGCTACTACCTCTACCTCTTGTGCTGCTACCTCTACCTCTTGTGCTACTACCTCTACCTCTTGTGCTACTACCTCTACCCTCTTGTGCTACTACCTCTACCTCTTGTGCTACTACCTCTACCTCTTTGCTATACCTGTACTTGTTAACCTCTACCTCTTGTGCTACTACCTCTACCTCTTGTGCTACTACCTCTACCTCTTGTGCTACACCTACCTTCTACACTCTTGTGCTACTTACTCTTGTGCTACTACCTCTTGTGCTACTACCTTCTCTTGTGCTACTACCTCTTGTGCTACTACCTCTACCTCTTGTGCCTACCTCTACCTCTTGTGCTACTACCTCTACCTCTTGTGCTACTACCTCTACCTCTTGTGCTACTTACCTCTACCTCTTGTGCTACTACTTACTCTTGTGCTAACCTACCCCTGCACTCTACCTTTGCTACTACTTACCTCTACCTCTTGTACTACTACCTCTACCTCTTGTGCTACTACCTCTACCTCTTGTGCTACTACCTCTACCTCTTGTACTACTACCTCTACCTCTTGTACTACTACCTCTACCTCTTGTGCTACTACCTCTACCTCTTGTTACTACTACCTCTACCTCTTGTGCTACTACCTCTACCTCTTGTGCTACTACCTCTACCTCTTGTGCTACTACCTCTACCTCTTGTGCTACTACCTCTACCTCTTGTGCTATACTACCGTCTACCTCTTGTGTACTACTCTACCTCTTGTGCTACTTCCTCTTGTGCTACTACCTCTACTCTTGTCTACTACCTCTACTCTTGTGCTACTACCTTACTTGTGCTACTACACTCTGTTATTTACTCTGTGTAGCTACTCTACCTCTTGTACTACTCTTTGTAGCTACTACCTCTACCTCTTGTGCTACTACCTCTACCTCTTGTGCTACTACCTCTACCTTTGTAGCTACTCTACCTCTTGTAGCTACTACCTCTACCTCTTGTGCTACTACCTCTACTCTTGTCTACTAGTCTATCTGTAGCTTTTTGTTGGCTAGTATACTTACCCTTGTATACTACGTCTGTACATTCTTGTGTACTACTTACCTCTTGTACTACTACCTGTTAGCTTGTTTGTGTCTACCTCTACCTCTTGTTAGCTACTACCTCTAGCCTCTTGTGCTACTACCTCTAGCCTCTGTGTGCTACTACATCTACCTCTTGTGCTACTACCTTACCTCGTTGTACTACTCCTTACCTCTTGTGCTACTACCTCTACCTCTTGTGCTACTACCTTACTCTCTTGTACTACTACCTCTACCTCTTGTGCTACTACCTTACCTCTTGTGCTTACTACCGTTGTGTACTACCCTTGTGCTACTACCTCTACCTCTTTTTGTGCTACTAACCTCTACCTCTTGTTAGCTACTACCTTACTCTGTGTACTACTCTGCTACCTCTTGTACTACTACCTTAACCTCTTGTGCTACTACCTCTACTCTTGTGCTACTACCTCTAGCTCTGTTGCTTACTTACTCTTGGTTTAGGTCTTACCTCTTGTGTATACCGTCTGACTCTATAGTTACTACCTAGTACTCTTGTGCTATACTCAGTTGTGTTATTAGGTCTGGTAGGTTAAGTAAACGCTAGGACAGGTTCTGTAACAGGTTAGTTAGGAGTGATTCAGTTATCCGGTGATAGGTAGGTAAGGTTGGGTTAGGTTAGGTTAGGTTAGGTTAGGTTAGATCAGGTTGGTTAGGTTAGTAGAGTTAGGTTAGGTTAGGTATAGGTTAGCTTAGGTTTGATTACGTAAGGTTAAGTTTAGGTTAGGTTAGGGTTAGGTTAAGTTAGGTAGGTTAGGTCAGGTTAGGTTAGGTTACGTTAGGGTCTAAGTTAGGTTAGGTTAGATTAGTTAGGTCAGGTTAGGTTAGGTTAGATTAAGTAAGGTTAGGTTAGATTAGGTAAGGTTAGGTTAGGTTAGGTTAGGTTAGGTTAGGTTAGATAGGTTAGGTTTAGGTTAGGTAAGGTTAGTGTTAGGTCAGGTCAGGTTAGGTTAGGTTACGTAGGGCTAAGTTAGGTTAGATTAGATTAGTTAGGTCAGGTTAGGTTAGGTTAGATTAAGTTAGGTTAGGTTAGATTAGGTTAGATTAGGTAAGGTTAGGTTAGGTTAGATAGGTTAGGTTAGGTTAGATAAGGTTAGCTTAGGTTACGTTACGTAAGGTTAGGTTAGAATAATTTAGGTTAGGTTAGGTTAGGTTAGGTTAGGTAATAGGTTTAGGTTAGGTTAGGTTAGGTTAGGTTAGTAGGTTAGCTTAGGTTAGTTAGTAAGGTTAGGTTAGAATTAGGTTAGGTTAGGTCAGGTTAGGTTAGGTCAGGTTAGGTTAGGTTAGGTTAGGTCAGGTTAGGTTAGGTTAGATTAGGTTAGATAGGTTAGGTTAGGTTAATAAGGTTAGCTTAGGTTACGTTACGTAAGGTTAGGTTAGAATAATTTAGGTTAGGTTAGGTTAGGTTAGGTTAGGTTAGGTTAGGTCAGGTTAGGTTAGGTTAGGTTAGGTTCGTCATAATACAAAACAAGTATTTCCGTGACGCGGGTCTTAGCCATTGTGATGACCCGCCACTGAAGCTACAGATCATCTGACGGAGACCTTCCACAGGCTACCCCATCCACCCCTTCACAAAATTAAGGTCTATTAGGCTGGGATAAATACCACAACTCTCACAGGCGGAGCTTCGAACGTTCAAGAAAGGCGCTCCCAAATTTTATTCAAACTGAAGAGGGAAATTTGGGGTGGGGAGAACCACGTCTTTCGATTTTATGAGAAAAAGAGTTGGAATGTTTTATTTCTCTTGTGTCACAGCAAATTAAATCTGTGTCATCGTTTTCTGTGGTATTTAACTTTGGTAATAAATACCGGCAAATTGGTTTAGGAAAAACTAGTGTATGTTTATTAGAAAACGTTTAGGTCCTGGGACCTTGATTAAGGTCCCAGGACCGAAATAGTTTTTATGTCCCAGTGTTTGCTTGCCTATTTTACCTATCCTGCTTCACTATCACTCGACCAGGATAGTATTCACTGTCTCTCGACCAGGATAGTACATGTGGCCACATTATGTGTCCAGCATCACAGCGCATGTGGCCACATCATGTGTCCAGCATCATAGTACATGTGGCCACATCATGTGTCCAGCATCATAGTACATGTGGCCACATTATGTGTCCAGCATCATAGTACATATGGCCACATGTGTCCAGCATCATAACACATGTGGCCACATCATGTGTCCAGCATCATAGTACATGTGGCCACATGTGTCCAGCATCATAGTAAATGTGGCCACATGTGTCCAGCATCACAACACATGTGGCCACATCTTGTGTCCAGCATAATAGTACATGTGGCCACATGTGTCCAGCATCATAGTACATGTGGCCACATGTGTCCAGCATCATAG